AGAGTCCTTCGGCATCTCCATGCCGCTCACCAGGGGACCTCAGCTATGGGGCAGCACGCCCGAGCCATAGTTTACTGGCCCGGGATGTCCGGGGACATTCAGGCCACCAGGGACGGGTGTGTAGACTGCAACCGCAATGCTCCGTCACAGGCGGCTCCACCCCCCCGGCCGTCCTCACCCCCGTCCACGCCATTCGAGGCGGTGTTTGCTGACTTCTTCGACTATAGGGGCCGCCACTACCTAGTTGTCGGGGATCGGCTCTCGGGCTGGGTAGAGGTCCTGAGCTCTATGGCGGGTACTGCCCTGGCGGGCTCAGCTGGCCTGGTCCAACACCCTCCGGTCGTTCTTCGCCACCTTCGGCGTACCGGAGGAGCTCTCGAGCGACGGTGGTCCGGAATTCAAGGCGAGCCACACTGAGGACTTCCTCCGCTGATGGCACGTCAAACACCGTGTGTCTTCCGTTAGCTTTCCGCAGTCGAATGGGAGGGCGGAAGTTGCGGTTAAGACTGCTAAGCGCCTCCTGATGTCCAACACCGGCCCGTCGGGCAGCCTTGATCAGGACCGCTTCCTGCGCGCTATGCTGCAGTTGCGTAACACGCCTGACCCCGACTGCGACCTCTCGCCAGCACAGATCATCTTCGGCCGCCCCCTTCGTGGCTCGCTCTCCTTCGTGAACCGCCTCGAGAAGTTCTCGAACCCGCATATCCGGTGTTTGGTGTGTCTATACTCTGTGTCGTGGTATATATTTGTGTTGATGACATGCATGGATGTAATACTTTGTCAGCTTATCTTGCTGCATTACTCTGTTTCAGGGTGTCGTCATCCTTGTCAATAAATTACCGAAACTGACATTTACAGGCTATGAAAGTTAGCTTTTGCTACCTTTAGATCCATAACAATGCAAGCTAAGTAGCCTAACAGTTAGCTACATAGCTAGCAGTGAGTGAGCGTTCAGACACCGGCAGACACACTCAAACAGACTCGTGTGCCTGACTCTACCAACAGGCTTTCATGATTCTGTTTAGATATGCAAGTATAAGCCATGATAGCTTATTTTATTAACATGCTAATTTTATATGGAAATCAATGGTGGCTGAGTTAACTTTGTAAGAAAACCTACCGTCCATGACTGCCCCTAAGCTGTGTTTTATTTGATAACTTCATATTTTTCATTTCCTAAAACATTATTTTCCTCTCATATTAATAGTGTGGATCATTGAGACAGCGTGGTGTCCAGAGTCTTATCCCTTTTTCCCATTTGAAATATTCTTTGAGACTTCATTTTCTGGTTCAAATTTCAATAAATGTAATTTGTATAATCACTCTTTTGTCTTTATTCTACATGAAAATGTTAGAGATTCCATTCAAATCTGTTGATTATTCGTATCTTCCTCAGGCTAGGAATAGTATGTTGAGTTTGTAATGCTAAATGTATATCATTTTCTCACAGGATATAGAATGAGACAACACAGTTTTTATCCATTGTGTATGAATGCTTCAGCTCTTCAGACCAACATAGTAAGCTGTGAGGTGAGCATGTTCCTAATTGTGTTGGTATGCAAGCTAGGTCTGGTCTGTTTAATAAAGCAAATCTGCCACTTTTATATTGTAGAATTTGTTAAATTAAAGCAGTCTTTAATTGTTTGTCCTAAACATAGCAATATATGCTTTTGAAATGTAACATGTCTTTGAAAAAATAATAGTATACAATTTATATTGTGTATCACCTTTAGCTTGAAAATACATAGATGTGTTTTTTTTTAATCTATAAAATAAATAGACGGACAGACACTTTATCAACCCCAAATTGGGAAATTATTTAACTGCAGCAGTGTGTTCAGGTATTAAAATATTCAAAGTTGGAATAAAGTATAAACTACACAACACAAGTCTAATGCACAGCAATCCATAAGATAAGTCCGATATTTTCATGAAAACTCCCCAGGAGACACCAACAATAACGTGGCCGAGTGGACTCCGGAGTTTGCTGCATGAGTTGTACTGTATGAACTATGGTGTAGTGGGCTGTCACTCAAAAACTGAGTAGCCAATGGGAACACACCCCTGAAAGTCCCGCCCACCTGGGAGGTTTGTGTCAAAACAAATCTGAAACAAAAAATGAGGGAGCGCAAACGAGAAAGCTGCAGCGAGAGCAAAAGTCTGATCATTGAGAAAGAAGAAACAAGAACTGCAAACAAAAACCTATGTTAAAACAAAGAAAAAAGACTTATATGATTACACAAATGATTTGTTTGCAACTTATAGTTTTATCTTTGAAATTTATTTTATTTTGCTTGACTCAGTTTTCTTTTCTTTTAAACTCATAGTTTTGCTTTATTCTGAGAAAGTGTTGCTTTATCTTTATGATACAAAACGAATCCCATAACCGAGACAATACATTACAGAAAATATGCTGTATTTTTTACGACTAACACTAGCTAAAGCTAAAGAAAAGGAAGTCTTAAACATTAAAGCTCTTTGTATGATTACCTCTTTTGTGGTCGGGAGCTGAATGTGAAGATGGACAAGGACAACAAGCATGAAATGGCAGTGAAAACATATGCCACAATTTACAGATGAAAACAGATAATGGAAAATAAGGAGGAAAAATAGATGCACTTGAACATAAACAAATCTTATTTAGAATGTAGGCCTAAGTACATTCTAAATAAGATTTTTTGCTGTACTTACCTACTTAGTAAGTACTTATTAAGTAGTAAGTACTTCCATATTATTTTTTACACTGCTTATTGTGCATATCTATGATCAAATTGTTATGAGTTTATGGATCAAAAACATTATTTAGCTCTTTGTAGATTTTGAGATACAGCCATTTTATTATCATAAAATAATAAAACCGAATTACTTATTTGTATTCTTATGTAATATAAATCAGTGTATGTTGCGCAGCAGGCACACTGATATTGGGAGAGGCAGACTGACCACACTGTCCATATAGGCCTCAGTCCAGATGATGTCGTGATCGTGGTTGATGACCATTGGCCGGCTCAGAACATGGAGATACTCCATAACGTTTTCCTGGACATCAGCCAGCGTGGAGACGTGTGTGTAGTAACCTGCAGAACACACAAATACATGTACACCGAAAAATTAGGATCCATAAAATGTAGCAAAGAAACCATACTATATTTATCTTTCTGCTTCTGGCCTATTACATTTCGTGCAGCAAACTAATTTATCCGACTTCAAAAACCTTTTATTCCCAAATACTCTAAGCTTTTTAAATGAAAAAAAACAGTTTGAGTCTCCTATCAGTATGAATGTGCTTTTGAATTTTTTTAAAGCTTGGCTTAGTCTGAGGTTTGTGTCATTTCTACAATGACGTCAATGGGATACATGCAGTGAAGCTGCTCGATGACAACAGGCTACTGAAGCACTGCCAGATATGAATATGTGAATGTGTGCAATCTTTCTCCCATTTGTTATTCTCCCCAAGAGTTTTTCTGTGAATATCATTTATTAAGCCATATGAAAAAGCAAAAGGGAAGCTGTTTATAGGTTTTCAAGCAGTGTAACATAAAACATGCTTGTCTATCAATGACAGATATTTAGTTGTTTGCAGAAGGGAGTGTGTGCACCAGAAGGGATTGCACCTGTTACCATTAAACACAGAGACACACGCAAAAAGGATATTTTTTGGCAAGGGATGTGTTTACAGAGTATCTGTGCTGATAATCAGGTATTTAGTCAGGGATTTTTGATGTGCACAGAGCAGGATAAAGTGATTATTTTCAGGTCTGAGCTGCTGCATGACCCCATGTAATTCACAAGAGGGCAGCACCTGATGTCCCATACAGAACCACCTGGGGACCCCACAGAGGGCCGACAACAACAGACCTCCTTTCTTTCTGTTTTATTTAAGACTTAGCAAGTGATTGCAGTAGTTTACACCATTAGTCTATTTTTTGTTGCTGAAATAACCCAAACTTCCTATCCACATGTTTGAGGCACAACCAGGGATTCAACCTCGCAAAGATTACGTCCAAAACCTAGATTCTTTTGACCATATGGCTACTGATTCATCCTCATTTTACCCTTGTTGTTGCAGGCAATCCATTTAACATTGTCAGCAAATGTCATCTCTCGGCCAATCAGATAGGTGAACACTCGAACCTGGAGAGGAAATAAAGGATTAAGTGAGAATGTTACCCCACACAGCTTTGATTGAATACAAACTGTCAATGCGTCGTGTTTGTGTGCTCACAGCACATTTCACTGTGCTTGCAGTTGATCCTGCTTGTGTTTGTATTTGTGTGTCATACCCGTCGTTCTGGCCAGTTGAACTCTTCAAAAACATCCTGGAAGTCCTCCATGGCTCCGTCTGTTATCAGCATGATGGCCTGGTTACACAGGCTGCCCTGGCCCAGTGCTGCAACCTAAACACACACACAATGTACTTGACATTGGATATTTGTACTGTAGAAATCAGCTGATACAGACCTGTGAATTGTGTAGTCAGACAGTCATACACAAATGAACTCATTTTACATTGCTATCAACGCTATATATGGTTAAGACCTGGCAGAGGCACAAACCTCGTTGAGGATCTTAAAAGACTCCTTCATCGCAATTTTCACTTTGCCCTCGCCTTTGACATGAAGTTCATCAACCAAAAGCTTGAAATGCTGCAGAGAGAAAAAACAACAACAGATAAATACATTAATAGACACTGTCACTTAGTCAACGATGTAATCCTGCAGGTAAATGCAGGTAATGACAGAACGACATGGAAACAGAGTTTATGAGGAAGTGAGTGAAAGTGTGAAGCCTCAAGGACGGATAATCCCCGGCTCTCTGGCACACTGACCAGGAGGTTAAAAGGTTATCTGGATTAGTGAATATCCACACGCACACACGCACACACACAGAGACACTCTGACAACCACATTGTTTTGGGTTCAACTACCATGCAGACCGCATATAGAGGGGGCTCTTGACAGAATGTTATATTCCCTTGAAGAAATACAAGCAAACTGTAAATCATTACTCTAATTATTGCTGCAAATTTAACAAAGATGTTTCATTAAAACTGGGTTGCTTTTGAAAACTGTTAGGTTACAGATAATAAGCTACCTTTTTAAACCTACAAAAATAAACACACTTTGTGTTCACCAACATTTTGATTGCATTTATTTTATAATTGAATTACATAATTAAATAACTAAACGTAGATCCCTGCACAGCATGTTTCTTTATAATCTGTATTCTGTAATAACCATGAGTTTTGGGGGAATGTAGATCTCCTATAACAATTGTGTTACACAAGCAACAAAGCCGAGGATTGTCTTCTTGTAAAATAAGAGTTCATGTGTGTCAGCTAACATCTGTAAGCCCAGTCTGTTACAGCCTGCCTCTCTAGGTATTAAACCAATCATATCCCAAGTTGACGGGTCATGTGACCTACTTAAAATTGTCAGTGGCCAGCGACCTCACCTGATCTGCCGTAATGTGAAGGGGAGTGAAAGTAGGGCACACATCCAACACATATCTCACACTCACACAAACACAGAGAGAGACTGAGCAGGTGTTGGTATATGAAAAAAACAGGAGAACAGATGATGGAGAAGAAAAGGAAAACAAAGAGCAGTGAAACAATGAGATAATAATGGTTTTGCACTTGTAAATACAACAAAGAGAGTGAGATGTAAGCAAAAATGCCATAGCTTTGAGAAAGATAATTATTTTTAACCTGTTAAGCTGTTTTTCAGGTCTCAGGCTCGAAAATGACATTCCCAGAACAAATGACCATATCTTCCCTTCTAAAAGGGTTAAATTAATAATATTTTTTCTCAAAGCAAGGTTACACCTGTGAGTTGGATGTAGAAGAGTCAGAATCAATATAGATGTTTATATTTTAAAGTAAATTCAGATTGAACACAGTAAATGTAAATTATTGTGTCCGTCCAAAAAAGAAAATTATTTATAGTGAAAACCACCCATGAATGATGGGATGGTAGACTAAAAGCTTTAGGAATCCAAACTACAACATATAATAAGAAGCCTGTATCAAGATTGATGCAAAACAAGTGAAATATGACATTTTTAGAGAGATTTAGCAAAAAAACAACACTTCTGGGGTCATTTGGGTGGATTCTCCATATCTCTTGGTCGATAAGTAATAAGGGTATTTTTAGCTTGAGTTCTGTGCCAAAGTGCGTTAGCATTTTTCTGTCAAGGGTCATTTAGATGCTTCTTATGAGACTTGTGTTTTGTTCTGGTAAAAATGGTTTGTATCGTCAGTTAGCTGAGATTCTTCCCGTTAATCTGGTACAAGACATTAGTAGGTCTTTAAATATTAAGATGCCCTGAGACACAGTGTCGTGAAAAAAGAAAAAAAAGACCCGCCGAAGGGGTCTTTGGGGCTTAACAATGTGAGATGAGGAATGAAACCGAATGAAGAGTTGGAACAAAGAAGAAGAAATATCTATCTTAAAATGAGGCCGAGTACTTTCAACACACATAAACATTAATAGGTGTTGATGGATTAATAATTTAAAGAAAGAAACAGGTTGAAATGATAAAACGTGCGCTCATTGTGATGTCTTAACTGCTGTGATAATAATGATAATAATAATAGATTTAATTTGTTAGCGCTTTTACAGGTGCTCAAAGACGCTTTACAGATAATAGTAAAGAGAAAAGAAAAGAGAAGAAAGGAACAACAAATAAATATATAGTTAAAGTTAAAGTCAAATAATACAAAAACAATCACACATGTGATGTTATGTCATGAAAACGTAAATTATGTACCGTCTTTAGTGTATTAGTGAGATAGCAGCCTACAATTAATAGGTTATTTTAGGTTAAGTGAATCAATTAGGTTTTCTCTCTCTCTCTCTCTCTCTCTCTCTCTCTCTCTCTCATTGTGATGTCTTAACTATTAGGATGTCATGAAAACGTAAATTCTGTACTGTCTTTAGTGGATTAGTGAGATTGCAGCTGAGCCTACAATTAATAGGTTATCTTAGTCTAAGTGAATCAACTGTCTAGGTTTTCTCTCTCTCTCTCTGTGTGTGTGTGTGTGTGTGTGTTACCTCTCTGTTATCCAGATCCGCTTGTACCAGCGTGCCCTTGAAGCAGGGCTCCACGTAGCGAACATAGTCACTGTACTGGAGATGGAAGCACAATATGTAAGCCAAAATAATAAATCTACATGATGTCAACATGATACATTTTCCAACAGATGATGGTTAAGAGTTTTGAAGTTTTACAACCTTCAAATCAATCAGTTCCTCAATATCACAAAATCCTTTAACTTTGGTACAGTTATATAATAAAGCCAACGTGTGATTCTGTAACCCAGAAATTACTTTAACTTTTAATACTGTATATGCATATATGACAGCTTTCAATTATTATAGTATATTTATCAAGGTATGGAATAAAATGTTCTTTTCACTTCCTGGAGTTCTATTGTTTTTTGTATTGTTAGATAGATTTTAGTGTTAAAAGAAGAACATTTGTAATTCCCTTTAATATTTCCAATGACATAAGTCAAGTCAAATCCAAAATCAGTTTACATTATGTAATTCCTCACATAACAATGGGATTCAAACCCTTTTTCTGACTGAGGATGTCTACACTAGCAAACATTTGCTGCATGGTCAGCTTTGAATTCTGTGTAAAAAGAGCTTAAGGGCAGCGGATTTGCAAGAGGCGTATGATTACACACAAAGTAATACCAGGATAAACCATGCTTATTACGCTGATATGTAGTTGTAGCGCTACATTCAGCCAAAATCCTGAAAAACCTCAAATCCGAATGGATTTTGAAGCTTTGATGTCACTGGAAGTAAATACATCGAGTGTGTATTTGTGCCTGTTGTGTCTACTTCTGTGGATTTTCCCACAGTCTCTGTACTGCACCTGTATTTGAATTTATTATGTATTTATGTGTGTTAATCTCAACGTCAGGCCGCTCAAGTGTGTCTGGGTTTTTTAGGATTGTGTGTGTGAGACTCACTGCAATGATGTTAACAAAGTCGTTTTCTCCCAGTGTGTCCAGTATAGTATTGATGGTGTGTTTGGCTATGGTCAGTCTTAGTCCCTTCATACTGCCACTCACATCCACCACGATTACTACATCTTTAGGTGATGAGGCTGCCTGGATATACCTACAAGGAGACAGAGAGGTGAGGTAGGAAGCAGTAAACACTTTATATTCATTATTAAGTGAATCGAATAACATTCATTCATGAACAGAGACTCTGTTATTTAACAGCAGAGAGAAGTACTTATTTTTGAGCCTTATCCTTTTATGTTCTGTGAAACATAAAACTGGATTGTTCCTAGAACTTGATTTACTGTCACTGAGTAGTAATAGTTTCCAATTTGTTATTCAATAGATAGACCTTTTACAGGGAAGACATTTTAAAATGCTACAGAAAAGCCTAAAGTGTGAATAATAAAATGTACAATGGGTAATCTGCATGTGCTCATTGACACAGTCACAGAGCTATTGTTAGATTCATAAGTAACACCTGTGTGTTAGACTTTACAAGTGAAAATATCTGCTGCAAGAAAGTAACCCATTAGGAACCTGTTTTATCCATTCACTGCATTCATTGTTAAATTATTTACAGTTACTAATAAGTAGGTCAAAAAAGAATAAACTGTTAAATACACTGATTCAGGAGGCTAGAATACCACACAGAAATACTTGTTTGCACGTGCAGCTGATTTAACAGGCTCAATTTGCAGAACAGTGGTTGAGTCGGGTAGACTGGTTCCAACTATCCAGACACACTGAAGAATCTACAGCTGATGGTCAGCCATAGATGTTAATGGCACCCAATGGCTGCTGGCTTGGAGTGTCAGTGCCAATAACAGGGCTTTCTGAGCTGTTATGGTTCTTCTGTTATTCATCAAAGCACTATCTTGCACTTGCATTCTATACAGAAAGATAAAACACTTAAAAAAGCATCAATAAGGAACTGATGTGGGTTGTAATATAGCTTTACCAGTTTCTGTTCCTGCAATCAAAGGTGACAACACCATTTTCATCTGGAATCCACTGGATCCCTGGAGACAGAGACAGATTTAGCAAAGGAACACTCAGAACTTCTGCTTGGCTGCCTGGTTGGGCAGACAGATGAACAAATGGATACACACACACGCGCACACACACACACACACACACTAACACACACACACACACACACACACACACACACACACACACAGGAGAGAACTCAGCTGCAGCCATATGTAGCTAAACTGAGTCATCAGGTCTGACAGGCAGCTTCCTGCATCATCAGTTGCTGTCTAAGTATGCTGTTTAGCTTGTGTAGCTGAATGTTTATCTACACCTCTGTTCTTGTTGTCTCAACACTGTGCCGACACTGGAGAAATGTGCAAGTGACAACACTTTGGGAAGCATGCAAGGTGTCCAGAATGTAGGAGGAGGTGGGGGACAGGAGAGTCATGGCCAAGCTGTCATCATAATTGAACAACAGGCAAACAGTACAATCTGCAAACAGTACCAGCCACCTCTTCAATTTGATATGGTCACTTTGTTTTGTTTTTTTGTTTTTATATACTGCTACTCTTTCTACCATGGTGTACTTATCTTTTTTTGTTTTTATATGTACGATTATTCTTTTAACTTTATCTGCTCTATACTTCTGCTGTTGTTATAATGTAAATCTCCTCATTGCGGAACAAATAAAGGAATCTGGGTCTGATGTAGGATTTATGCACCTGGGTAGAGCCTAAAGAAGCCTGTAGCGCTGCCAAAGTACTGCCACGTGAGAGTTGGATCTTTCTTGAAGTTATCAATGAACACGTCATTCAGAGCCTCAGACATGTAGGCTCCGTTCACAATATCTGTATCTACAGAAAGAGAAAGAAAGAATAATATGAATGTATTGCTGGCATTTAGATGGCAGTTAGTGCAAGAGCATGCTGTCTATAATGCTGCATATTCCCACTTCTGTACCTCTGTTGTAAACATTTGTAGGGACTTGAATGTTACTCAGTTGCGTGTTGACTGGCAGCTTATTGAAGTGTTCGTTTTTCTCCAGAGCGAACTCTCCTCCCAGCGACAGTGGATTCCCATCCTCATCCACCTTGTTGATCAGCATGGAGTTAAAGTATTCAAACTACAACAAAGGATAAGAACATCCATCAGATTATATCAGATGTTATCTGGAGCACAAATAAGTGATGGTGTGTCCACACTCCACATCTTAATTGGCTCAGTAGGCCATTATCAATTAATGGTAAGCTGGATCACCGCAGGACGGATACGGTGACCTCTCGAAGCGGAAGTAATTATGACGGGAGCAACGGAGGAAGGCAGGTGACGAAGTACAAAGAGGGACAAAGACTGTAGGAATAAGTTGTGTTGGGTCAAACAAACAAAGACTTTAAACCAGGAGTCTGCTGTTCATGTCCTTTTTTAAGCAAGAATGTTGACTTTAAGTACGCCATTTTAGAGCCTCATCCATTGTGTAGTACAGTACAATTTGTTCTTAATTGAACCAAGTAGTTTTTTTTACGCTTATGTGCAACAGACACATATGCAACAAAGGCAGATAATATTATAATTAGAACCCAAACAAATGTATATTTTGTGTATAAATCAGTTGTTCTTATTGTCTGTTTTAGACTGCACAGAGGTTTATGTTCTTTTATCTCTATCAGGTTTATTTAGGTTTACACGCACAAGGAATTTCCTTTGGTGTAAAATGGTGCAGAAACAAACAAAATAACAGGAATGAAGGTATTAAAAAAAAGAAAATATAGAATTATATACAAATCAATTATTAAAATATATACAAATCAATTATTAAAATATATAAAATTAAAACTGAAAAAATGACTGTCAATACACATAAAAGTAGGTAAAATAAGAATGTGACAAATTATTCTAAAAAAAAAATGTAAACGCAAACTGTCCATGGGGACATTTATTACTAAAGCATACTGTCAAAATACCTCTAGAGTTTCGTTGTACTCGTGGTAAAGGTCAGCATCCTCCGCTGCTTCTGCTAACCTCTGTAATGAAACACAGTATGTTAAGGATGCACTGTGACCATGTAAGAAACAAGTTTATACAGACTAAACCTACAACATTATTTATCATTTTTAAAAAAAGAGAAAAGGTCATGTCTGCAGTATTTGAGTGAGTTTGCATTTACAGAATGTATCATTGTTACCTTCACAGATTTCATCTTCCTCCCAAGCATCTCCTCCATCTCCTCAGCAAACTTCTTCACCAGCTCCTCTCCATCCACCTCCTCTATCTTCACCACTGCCTCCACATCCTTGTATTTCTTTACAACAGACACAGTTGTCAAAATTAGTAACAATGCTGATTATTTTCCAAGCATCCCCTATCAAATGCGTCATTTTAGCTCCTAATAATATAGCATTTCTTGAAAGCAAACAACAGGTAGACAGTGTAAGAAAGTGGTGGTCGCTATATTGTGATCATATTTCCTTACTCATTTTGAAAATACACAATAAAAAAACAACAAACACGCATAACCATGGTAGAGAGATCCTGGCATTATACAATTATGCACACGCGCAGACACCACACATTTACAGTCTGCCGTACAGATGAGGGTCAAGCCCTGGCTTCATCCCCTCACCAGACCCCCTCTCTAATCTGCAATATGATAGAGTGACGCCAGAAGAAAGCTACACTGCCTCCTGACTGACATCTGCTCTAATGTATCTCTGGCTGCTAGTGGGTCTGTGGGTCTGCTTACTGCACTATTGAATTAAAGCAGTTACATAAACGTGATTTAAGGGATTGCGTGCTGTTGTTGCTTGTGGACACAGAGGTTAATTTCCGGCACTGATGATAAAAGCTTCAATTGTGATGACGGATGATAGAATTTCCGTTAATGCTTTGTTTTGTTTTTCTATTATCCTCAGTGAGATATTTACCCTTCTTTAAAGGGGCCCTAATACGTTTTTGTACATGTAAATGGTCTTCAAAGGCTAAAATCCCAGTGTTCCCTCCAGAGGGAGTTTCTCTCACACACAAAACGCCTCCATTGGACACCTTTGTTACTTCTGTATCATATTGACATCACTGTGTGACACTCACACTTCTATTGGCAAGCACTTAAACACATTGTATGTGATAGGCTAAGGGGCGCGACATCTCTAAGCGGTTAACCAATCACAACAGAGCCAGCCAGCTAACCAATCAGAGCAGACTGGGCTCTGGTTTCAGACAGAGGGTGAAAAGAGGTGCTGCAGCACAGGCAGTATGAGAAAAATAAAGAGCTTTTTGAACATCAAAGCATGGAGACATGTCCCAGGGGAGACACTACATACTGATATGAACCTGAACATGAGCTTTAAAGTGGACCTATTATGCTATATTTGAATAATATATTGTAGGGCCATACCTATATAAAACATGTCGGTGAAGTTTTTTTTTCAAAATACCAAACAGGTATGCATTTTAGCCATGCCTCATTTCGCTCTATTTGCTCTTTTCCAGCCCTGTTTTTGCAAGGGCTGATTCTGCTTTTGTGGCAGACTACAGCGCCACTTACAGGCCTGGCATATGTACTACAGTATCTCCAGCACTTTCGAACGGCAATGGTCGTGGCTGTCTCCTCCTGATAGGTGGAGAGTTGCCCATATAGGCGGAGCTCCTTGTTTCTGATG